TTAAGAGGAAGTCGCCAAAAAGTTTTTTGAAACTAAAATAAATATAGTCCTATGATGTATTGAAATGTATGTGAAGAATAAAGTGTCAAACAGGACATTCAGAAAATAAATGTTTGGTATTTTTCAATTAAAATTTATTAAAATGAACATTGCATGAAACAGATATATATATATATATATATATGTGTGTGTGTGTAACTCAATTACAAAAAGGTCCATGAATTTATCTAATGAATAGACAAGCAAGTCAGACTTCTTGACTTATAAGCAAGTCAGAATACTGATCTTACAGTTACCTTAGCGAATAAGGAATCAATAGAATAATGAGTGGATTAGTGAAATTATTTTGTTTAATTAAACTACATGAATAAACAATTGTATGAATGATGACCAAAAAAATTCTGTTAAAGAAAAGTATTATTGAAACAATTCCACTGATTAGGTAAATAGGAGTTGAATTGATAATATTAATTGTTGATCTTGTATTAATTCAACATTTTTTGAGCACCAGTTATACTTGAGGCAGTGAACTAGATAGTAGAGCTATAAAGACTAAGTCAAAACTCACTGTTTTTCTACTGAAGGAGGAAAATACATAGACAGTTGTATCAATCCGTGTCCTATGGGTCCAAGGTATGAACAGGGGATCTATGAAAATAGAAACCTGAAAGACTACTAACTACATGAAAACAAGTGCTCAGCCTCTCTAGTAATCAGAGAAATGCAAATTAAAACAAAAATCTACACTTTCTCTCTCTTGGATTGGCAAATCTTAGGAAGTTGCATAATAACAGTTGTTTAAAGGTTATTGAGAAACAGAACTTGCCTGATGACAGCAGGACCTGCTGCAGCCATCCAGGAGAACAACATGGCAGGAATCAGAAGGCTTATATGCATACCTTGGTTCAGTGGTCCCACCTCTGGGCACACATGATAGGGAAATTTATATGCAAGTCCAAGTTCTTATATCGTATCATTTTACATTAGCAAATTAAGATCATAAGGGAAAAGAAAACCATTATATTTCCACAGTTGCAGCCAAAGAAATAGTCTAAGCAATTCGAGCAAGTGCTAAAGGAGAGAAAGGATAACGGAATGTGAGAATTAGAAATGAAAAGAAGCAAAATATTGTTAAGATAAAAATAAGAGAAGGATCTTGCAAAGACTGGTGAGGATGTTGGTCATAGTCTAAGGAATGTGATTAACTTGGCTTTCCACTTGACATTCAAAAGACTCTAACTCAAACAAACAAGCAAATAAAAATGACAGACAGAATAAATTGACACAAGCCGTGCTATGGAAGCAGAGTTGAGAAAAAATTGGCTAGGCCAAGAGTTATCAAAAGGGTTTCTTAGAGTTCATGATGCCTGCAGGCAAAATAGGGGGCACGGGTGGGAAATGTGAGGATGAAAGGATAAGAGGATGAAAAGAAGGTGCTTTAAGGCAGGAGACAAGAATATAAAATGGCATAAAGTCATAAAACACAATGATATGTTTGGAGAACTGCATATAATTGCTTTATATTTGGGATATTTAGGAAAGTGAGATACTTCTGGAAAGATGCAAGGAGGCAAGATTATAAATTTTATCAAGGACTTAATTATGTCAAGAATATCAGGAGGCAGGGCCTAACATAAGGAAATGGTAGTAAAAAAATAGGAACAAAGTATAAATTCAAACAATATTTAAGAGGTAGCATTGACAGGTCATGGTTACCCCTTGGCCGCTGGAAGTATGGAAGAGGCAGAAGGTCAGGACATGGCTCAGAATTTTAACTTGAGCACTTAAGTGGTGATAACATGATTCACAAAGATGGTTAAAACAGGATATGGAGAATTTTGGAAGGAAATATGACAAGTTCCATTCAATCAAAATTACTCTCCTGACTAAACTCTTCAATGTTTCTCCATGACTTACGGACTAAAGTCAAACTTCCTATGTTTTCCATAAGGACTTTATGATGAGACCTCTACCTCTGTATACCTCTGCAGCCTTATGTTCAAATCGGTCGTGCTATGCTTTAATAAAACCAAGCTCCTTGTAATACCTGGTGAGGAGTTTAATAGTGAAGGAATATTTCCTCCTAAATTTAATACACAAGAGACACTGGGGATGTTCCTGTGGTGGATGAAGACCAAGCCAACAGAGATAGGTTGTGGTGTACGAGGGTGGGACAATACATAATGAACCAAATTTTAAAAGAGATAAGAGAAGAGAGACTTTAGGAGTGTTTCCAAACATAGCTTATGGGTTCTAAATCAGGATGTCTGGAGTGAGCCTGAGAATCTGCATTTGCTTTCATTATACAAAGCTATGTTCATAATGAAAACATTAAACAGTACCCTGAAGCATATAATGTCAAAAGTAAATGACCCTTTTTAAGCTCCTTCCTCCTGGCCCTGTAGCTGACACCTCATGTATAGTTTTGGAAGGCCAGCTGGTGAGTTGCATTCCGTTAACATCATTCCCCTGATTAAACTCTTCAATGTTTCCTCTGATCTGAAGATTAATATATATATAATCATCATTCTGAAAAACACAGAATTAGATTCTCTAATATTCTGTGCCTTGCTTTGATCATATTATCTTCTAAGTTTCCACAACAATGCCAGAACACATATATCTACCTCTATCTTTTAAAGGCTGTGTACTATTCCATTGTAAGAGTATTCCATAACATATTTAACCAATCCTCTGTCAATGAATTGTTTTAATATTTCTAGGAGTTTTTTCTTTGCTGTAACATTTGTGAATGAACATCCTTGAGTAAACTTCTTTGCACATTTTTATAACTATAGCTGAAATATAAATTTCTATATGTAGTATTCTTGAGACAAGTGTTTCTTCATTTTAAATTTTTGGAAATGTATATAAATTTTTATAGGTATAGATAAGTTGTCCTCCAAGGAGGTTACCCCAGTACTCCAACCAATAATGTCCAACAACTTTAACACTGTGAATGGGGAAATGGTTTCCATTGCTTGTGTTTGCATTTTTTTTCTCAGTCTAGATTAACAGACATCTTTGGGTGACTTGGATTGTCTTAAGGTACCTTAGACTGATGACTTAGGGACAGAATGATGGGTCATGGAAAGACTAAACCACCTCCTGTATCTCCACTAATGTGTTTGCATTTTCAAATTGTGAGGTTTATGAAAAACATAAACTTTCCATATGTTTAAAGTTATTAACATTTAATTTGCCTTTTATCTAACTAATATATCAATGTTTTAGCTTGTTAGTCTTCTCATCTTTCCTCATTTATTTTCAAAAATCTTTGATGTTAAGGAAATTAGGTAACTTTCTATTATGTGCTTTACAAATATTTTCCCAATTTTTATTTTTACTTTTATTTTTTCTATGCAAAAATTTTAAATAATTATGTAGCACTTCCCTATATATTTCTTTATGGACTCTGAGTTTGGGGTTTTATTTATTAAAGCCAACCCCCTCCTAAGTCATAGCTTTTTAAGAATCCTTGAAGATAACTTGCTTTCTAAGCTGAATAACCTTTTTGTTTAAATGCTATTTGTACTTTGAAGGTGCTTAGCAAATTATTTTCTACATGGATTTCAAGGGAAAACCACTGCCCCACCTGTATCTCTTTGTGATTAGAGGGACGTGAATGAATAGACATTTCTGAATTTTGAATGCCCAATAACTTCTCAACAATGCTTCCTTTTTGATTCACACAACTTACATAGATTTTGTCAGTTTAGGCTAGTATTTCCTACAGATGCTGTGTCTCCAGAAACGTGTCATGACTCCTTTGATGAACTTTTAACTTTCTTTCCTATGTCTCTTATAAAAGATCACTCAATGGTTGCCTGGCTTCAGTGTCATTATCTGAAAAATGATGATTATCTGTTTACTTAAACACAACCAAGATGGGTAGCAGAAAGTACACTGGGGTTTAATAATTGCTTCTTTACCCACCCATTGCTGCCACCAGAGCATATGCCTCTCAAAGGCAGGGACACTGTCTTAACGATCGCTGAATGCCCAGCATTTATGACAATGCCTAAGACAGAGAAATTGTGCGATAAGTATGTGAGGACAAAGTGAATGAGTGAATGATTGAACAAACTAAGGGTCGTAGTCTTCTCTCTATCATTGACTTGATATGTGACCTTACATAAGTTATTTAATCTTTCTGGGCTTCAGTTCCCTCTTCTGCCAAACAAATATAAATCCTAGCCTTACTGTACCAAAGATTTGGCAGGAAGAACAGTAACATAATAGACTTGGCAGTGATTTGAAAAATAAAACATTCAGAAAATTGGCATAATCATATCGATATGTATTTAATAAATAACTTCTTTTGAAGGATATGGAATATTGGAAGTGCTAACCACGTGACACTAACTACAAGTGTAAAATGGAGATCAGAGGAAAATAATAGTCATTGGGAGAAGTGTATTGGCTAATACAGCATTATTATTATGTTATCTTTATTATTATCATTTTCAGTATCATTATGGAAAACACTTAGAGCTACCAGGTGGAAAGATGCTACTGACTATAAAAGTCACACATTCAATATAACAAATTTTATGTTTTCTTTTGTATTTTGTCCTCCTACTGGCTTATTAATTTTTATGTCCATACCAGAAGCTCTTGATGCTTTAGAAAGTTTATGTATAATTTTGGTTTATTTAGTTCAATTCATCAGTATTATGCTCAGTTAAATTGATTGATGACAGACAGATAGATAGATGATAGACAGACAGATAGACAGACAGATATTCATGTCTAGGTATGGACACGTTCAGAATGTTATCAGACTTCAAATATATTGCTAGCCTGAAAGGATCTTTTGACCCTTCCACTTGAAATTTTTGCCTTTTATGTGGAGAAGTGGGGCAGGTAGGCACAATAAACATGTAGAGGAAGGAGGGAAGATTTTGGCCAAAGAAAATGAGGCTCAAAAGGAAAAAATCTGATATATTTTAAAGCAATGTTTGTATTATATTTGTTAATTTTATTCTATTTCTCTGCAGGTTTAAATGTTTATTTGGCTTCTTGGCTACTGATTAGAGAACACAAAATGAATAACTCAACAAACTCCTCTAACAATGGCCTGGCTCTGACCAGTCCTTATAAGACATTCGAAGTGGTGTTTATTGTTCTTGTGGCTGGATCCCTCAGTTTGGTGACCATTATCGGGAACATCCTGGTCATGGTCTCCATTAAAGTCAACCGCCACCTCCAGACTGTCAACAATTACTTTTTGTTCAGCTTGGCCTGTGCTGACCTCATCATTGGTGTTTTCTCCATGAACTTGTACACCCTCTACACTGTGATTGGCTACTGGCCTTTGGGACCTGTGGTGTGCGACCTTTGGCTAGCCCTGGACTATGTGGTCAGCAATGCCTCAGTGATGAATCTGCTTATCATCAGCTTTGACAGGTATTTCTGTGTCACGAAACCGCTCACCTACCCAGTCAAGCGGACCACGAAAATGGCAGGTATGATGATTGCAGCTGCCTGGGTCCTCTCCTTCATCCTCTGGGCTCCAGCCATTCTCTTCTGGCAGTTCATTGTAGGGGTGAGAACTGTGGAGGATGGGGAATGCTACATTCAGTTTTTTTCCAATGCTGCTGTTACTTTTGGTACTGCCATTGCAGCCTTCTATTTGCCTGTGATCATCATGACTGTGTTATACTGGCACATATCCCGAGCCAGCAAGAGCAGGATAAAGAAAGAGAAGAAGGAGCCTGTGGCCAACCAAGATCCAGTTTCTCCAAGTCTGATACAAGGAAGGATAGTGAAGCCAAACAACAATAACATGCCCAGCAGTGATGATGGTCTGGAGCACAACAAAATCCAGAATGGCAAGGCTACCAGAGATGCTGTGACTGAAAACTGTGTCCAGGGGGAGGAGAAAGAGAGCTCCAATGATTCCACCTCAGTCAGTGCTGTCGCCTCTAATATGAGAGAAGATGAAATAACCCAGGATGAAAACACAGTTTCTACTTCCCTGGGCCATTCCAAAGATGAGAACTCTAAGCAAACATGCATCAAGATTGTCACCAAGACCCAAAAAGGGGACTCGTGCACCCCAATTAATACCACTGTGGAGCTAGTTGGTTCTTCGGGTCAAAATGGAGATGAAAAACAGAACATCGTAGCTCGCAAGATTGTGAAAATGACTAAGCAGCCTGCAAAAAAGAAGCCTCCTCCTTCCCGGGAAAAGAAAGTGACCAGGACAATCTTGGCTATTCTGTTGGCTTTCATCATCACTTGGGCCCCATACAATGTCATGGTGCTCATTAACACCTTCTGTGCACCCTGCATCCCCAACACAGTATGGACAATTGGTTATTGGCTTTGTTACATCAATAGCACTATCAACCCTGCCTGTTATGCACTTTGTAATGCCACCTTCAAGAAGACCTTTAAACACCTTCTAATGTGTCATTACAAGAATATAGGCGCTACAAGGTAAAACAGCTTGGTAAAGACAGAAGGTAGTCAAGGGGAGCTTGGAAAGAAGAAAAGGGATAAAAGAGCTCCTAGTTTTAAAATCTCTGCCATTGCACTTTATAGTCTTATTATGGAATGTGCAATTAAGGAGCCCAACAATGACACTCTTATGGTGCCTATGCTCCAATTTGAGAAACTTGCACCTTATAAACCCTAGCCTTTTAGGAGCAATGAGGCCATGAAAGAGATGTGTTGGAATTGTGGATTTAAGTAACGATCTACGCTTTCTCGTTCTCTCTTGAAGAAGGGCTTTCGAATCTGCAATTTTATCTCTGCACAATGAGATTAATAACCTTGCTCCCTTGTTTTTTGTTTTTTAAAAATTTCCCCGTGTTCCATATGAGGATGAAATGCCACAGTTACAAGCTAACATGGAGACTTAAACGTGAAGAAATAGACATACGTTGGGGAAGTGAAGGAATAAAATCAAAAAAGGATGTAGAAATGGTCTCCAGAGTGTTAAGCATATATTATTATTTTGTTATGGTTTTATTTGGAGAAATGCAAAGTAACAAATGCCTATTTTTTTACCTTTCCCTTTTCTCACCACCAAAAGAAAAAACAAACAAAAACAAAAAACCTGAGTAGATCACATCATTATTTTCTCATTATGGCATTGGTTTTGGCAGTTCCCCATTCTACATTGTGTAAGGGCAAAATCTGCAGGATTTTCACTAAATACAGCCAAAGACAGCCATGAAAATGGGCATTTCACCCTTTCCCACCTTGTCCTTTGCATTCTTTGAGGGTATAAAAGCCTACAAGGATTTAGTTCACTTATGATCCTCTATGTGAAATGTTTTCACCCATCTGGTTTTCTTCTAAACTAGCCTCTTATTTTAATAGAATAGCCTACCTAATACATAAACACGATTGAGAAACCAAGTCATTTTCTAAACTGAGATTTCGTCAAATTAAATAATGGTCATTCTAGTTGGAGAAAGTTTACTGAGGCCCAATGAATTTGAGATAAGAAAATAGAAGTTTGAAAGGGCATTCTCTTTCACCCTGAATCTGCCTGACCCATGTATGAAATGTTAACTTGTAAAACATGAACCCCCGGCCTTTGTCAGCAGGAAGAAGATGCTGCCTTATTCTTTTGGAATCCTAAATAGGATTAACATACTCACGTGGCACCGGTGACTTCTGGGTCAGTCCCAAGAGATTAAGACCTTCTCTTCAATGCCTGCTAAAGGATAGTATTTAATTTATAGTCAAGTCAGCTTGTGTATAACTATCCTATGACCAGTGCAGGGGGAAAAAAAGAGTAATTCAAAAACATTTACTGAAACCACATGTTCCATATTCCTCAAATTGTCAATTATCTCTAAAATTTTTTAACTTCAAAATTCTATCAATAGAGGTATAATAATCTTTGTGATAGAAATGTAGTTGATAACTAAACAGAAGCTAAATGAGCTCAGCAGAATCTGAAAAAAGAATGTAGGTGGCTCTACCTGCATCACTTTTTAGCATTTGTCTAATTCTAGACCATAAAAAAGTCAGGTCAGGAACTATTACCTAAATGGTGGCTTTATAAAGAATCTTGCCCATGTAGAAACTTTTTATTTGGTACCCCAAATAAATATATGATTATATTGATTCACCTTTAGCTAGTTATTTTTATCCCTCAACTTTTTTCTTATTACCTTTGTTATAATCTTCCAATCAGATTTTCTAAAGATGGCCCAATTAATAGAAATCAAATTTATAAAAGCCTTTTCAAATTTCATATTTTGCATTTTAGACTTATGGGCTTCATGATATTTTGACCAGTAATATCAATGTGATTTGCATGATGAATTTGTCAGTATTAGACCTTAGCATTTAATTAGAGTTATTTTGTGTCACTTGGCTTATTGATGGCATTTCAATTTTGAGAATTAAAAAAAAAGCACAAGGTAAACTACAACAAAAAAGAATAGTTAGTAAGAAGCAAATTGCCAACAATATTTGTATGTAACTTATCCTACATAAAAATAATTTCTTGTTTGAATAACTTGTCACCCCCCCAATCTTCTATGTGTGAACATACAGCATCAGTTCATAAAGATTACTCTATAATTACTTACATGTAAACTTACATTTTAAATCCATATTTATTTTTATTTTTATTTTCAAATCAATGTGTCACTTGAGTGGAGGAGACATCAAGCCAATGGACTCTGGTTTGCTGTAAACAAAACAACTGACTGGCTGAATATTTCACTTATTAACTTGTTGTACCATTGTGATGTAGATTCATCTTTAGTTGAGATGAACTCTTTGGATTCAAGGATTCAGGATTCTGGATTTGTTCTTTTTTTATCTGCTGTAACAATCCACCTCACCATGAACCAAACTGGCTCTTACTGTCCATTTCTACTCTATCCTACCCTTCCTTCCTTCTATTCTTGATCTTCACCTTAGCCACCATAACCTTATTGAAAGGGCAACCACCAAGCAGGAAAGAAAGGAATTGAATATAGACTGACATGTCATGGAAGCTTTGTCAACCGGAATCAGAAAAAAAGGAAAGAATACTGAAAATGGTAGATAGTTAAAAGGATATGGAGATTGTATTCAAAGTTTTGCGTTAACCATTGCTGGATTTGTCTATTTCAGTGGCTGTCAACTAGGGACATTTAACAATGTGTGGAGACATTTTTGGTTGCCACGACTGGGGGTAGGGCTATTGGCATCTAGTGGGTAGATGACAGAGATGCTGCTAAACAGCTCACAATGCACAGGATAGCCCCCCACAACTAAGAATTATTTGGCTCATAATGTCAATAGTGCCAAGATTGAGAAACCCTGGTCTATTTTAAGAGATTCTAGAGCTTGCTTTGTATAAGTGGGAAAATAATCTTGTATCACTATTAGAATGTCAATGCAAACTGCTCACTTGTTTGAAAAAGGTAATGCTCACCAATCATGTATCAGACACACTGTCATCCATTGAGTTTGGCATATTTGTAACTCACAGATTGGGAACACAGGACACATCTACATATCCAAAGTCACCAGACCGTGCACATAGCACATTGTTTCCACCATCTTAATGTCCGATGATGATTGCCACAGAGTCCAGTCAAGTGAGGTTATAGTAGTTGGCCGTTAAAATGGTTGCAGTCAATATGGTAAGTTTCTATTGGAGCTGCCATTTTTCCTTTCAAAAACGTTAAGGGCCTCTTTCAGAAATAATGTAATTCATCTCCTTTGTTTTCACTGAAAAGGTGAATATCAGTCAAGAATTTCTGCTCTCCTCATAGCAATAATGTAAATATCCCAGAGTGGTCTTATTAGAAGAGGAGATTAAGAATGTGAAAAAGCCAGCTCATTTCTTGAAAAAAGAAATCATTGCCCTTTTATCAGTTCATTGTTCAATTTAATGCTATCTCCCAAGTGTTAGGACAAAGTCACCAACATAACAAGTCACGTGGGATAAGTTTTCCAGTTTGAATGTGGAAGCTAGAGGTCCCACATTCTCCTGCTCTTTCTTCATTCACTGCTTTTTTGATCCTGAAAATCTGACACTGAGGGAGATGGGAGTTCAAAATGATGGCAAGACATACTTAGAAGTGCAATCTACTTTTATTTTCTTCTACTTAGTTCATTGGTAGTTACCTTTTCTCCAGTTTGATAATCTCTTTCAACAACCACAGCACTGGTATTGCAAATAGATTAGGGAAGCACCCAAAGCTGGATGAACCGTGCAAAGTGTATTTTCAGCATGTATATACAATACCACGCCTCTTAAATATGCTTCTCTTAAAAGGGTGCACGCTGCAGCATGAACTGTGTGCATATTTAATGTGTCTTCCTGGAATATGCTGTATGCTTAATATACATATTCTATAAATAAAGTAATGAAATGTATAATAGAAATACATATTTCTGTATGCAAATAAATATATTATACACAAAAATCTTAATATGCTATATGGTATCTGTTGCTTCAGAGTAACAAGAGTAGATTTTATATGCCCAATTTTAAAAGAAAGTCATATTTGCTTTTGAAGGAAGAGATTTAAGAAAACAGCTAAAATCCTACCCATAGTAATGTTAAACTGTTTTATAATCTTTGAAAGCATGGCACTGATTTTAAATGGCTCTTGGAGGAATATATTAATAAATCTTTGCTGGTGTCATCCCACGTGACAACAATGCTTTTTGCTCCTGTGCTCCTGACAGGCCTCTAACTAGAATCTTCCTGGCTGTGACTGTCCCAACAGCTGTGTTGATCTCACGTCTGATTGCCTGATGAGATTGCAACCAATTCATTGACACACAGCTTTGCTCTCCTCCAAATTAACTGATTTCTGTCAAATAAATAATCATACTGGGAGGAAAGGATGACCTTCAAAATGTTTTTCATTCTGAAAGGCAAGGTAAAAATTGCACAAGCACTGTATTTTGTAAACCACTCTTTTCGGTTTGAGTCCAATACGGCATCCCACACATTAAAAGCCAAACATTTTTAGTGTGGCATGATATTGCAAGTTTCTTCAAGAAATTATGAAATAGGTGGTTTATTTCTGAGTGTTCTACCTTTTCTCCACAGCATTTCTCTTCCTTTCCTTGTTGTTCCCTCCACTATGCACATTCCCCGACATTTTCTTTTGCCCATTAGCATGCGGTCTTTGTTAGCAAATATTGTTATGATATTGGTTAATAATAGGCACGCGATCCCAAGAGCTGTTTGCATTTTAATAGAAAAAGCATAAACACTGAACATTTGCAAGATTTCTATTACTCTTTAGATATCAAGGCTTGCAATGGGATAGACATTTTTCAATGAATTCTAGTTTTCTTCAAATTTTATGACATACACAGATGTCTATCTGCTTCCTAAATTTTACCTTTTCTGCCACAATTCCCCCCTGTGAATTGCTGTCCCTTATTTGAACCAAAATCATTTCTTGAAAAAAATTGAGCTTTCTATCAATTCTCATTAGTTTCTTACTGATCCAGCGAAATGTTCTCATTTCATTTTTTTAGAATTCGAATTGAATATTGCATCGATGAATTGTCCAATGCTCTTTCTGACTAGGTGGTTGCAGATACTGAGACAGGAAAAACATCTTGCCATCATAAAGGGAGAATTTTGTACTTCACAACATATATCAATCTTTTTCAGCCAAAAATAGAAGCAGGAAGTGTTAAGTTGCGGAACATAGGTATTTATTAAACCGGTGACATTCTAGAAAATCTTTTCTTTGGCTTCCTAAACACACATTTAAACAGTAAGTCAAGGGAAACTGCAAAGAAAAAGAAGGCATCCGTCTTCTGTACTTGTACCATTTACCCAGCAGCTCATCTGAATCCTTAAATTATACTTCTACAGAAAATGTGGCTATCTTTGGAGGTTTTATTGAAGATTTTTTTTTAAAAAAAAAGAAATATCCTTTTCAAGTTATTATTACAAAATAAAGGATGGTATTAGTGAATAAATTGTGTGTCTGTGTCCAGAAAGATTTACAATGGATTGCAGAGGTGGCTAATTTAAACATGGATAATAGTTGGACTATTTGTATAAAAAAAAAGTCATAATTCACTCTATCCTTAATTTTTTTTTCCAACATCGTAAGTCTTATTCTCCTTGCTGCCTGTTTCTAGAGCAGGTGCTTACATTTGTGATGGTGTGATTATCTTTACTAGAGCCATATTGTATCACACCTTATGTCAGTGATTCTCAAACTTTAGGCTGCGATAGGATCACCTGCAGATCGTTGGGCCCCATCTGTAGGTCTGAGGTGGGGCCTGAGATTGTGTTTCTAACAAGTTCCTCAGTGACCCTGATGCAGACCACACTTTGAGAACAACTGACTTTTATAGTCTAATGGAAATTTTCACCAAAGCATTGTGATAATTAGCAAGACATTTATTATTGATGACAAAAACTTCACATTTAAAATACTACCCACAGGAAAGGAAAGTTTTCTTAGACATAAATTTTGTTGCTTGCTTACTTTCAAATAGGCTCCTTATATTTTCTACCTCTCGGGAAACTTCCAGGCCCATGATCTGAACACCAGAGATTAAAAATAACCATATTGATAAATTTACTTGAAGAACCATTAGCACATCAAAGTTTAAGATAACAAATACAGCAGATGCTTGAATTCTATCTGCAATATCTCCAATAAAAGATACTTTAAACATACATTTTATTGATATCCTACATTATATATATTTGCATAGATCATGTATACAAACACATTCTCCTCATATGAGTATTCACAATGAATCTTTCCATTATTTCACTGTTTAAAATTAATGTTAAGTAAAAAATATTTGCATTTTAGAAGTAATTCTTCAACCTCTCCTTAAAACACACACACATATATACAACCACACATCCTCGGGCACATAAACACCCAAATGCACACTCATACACACATGCACACACAAATAAATACAACACAGTCATGCATAAAAACACATACAAGTTTCACCATATATATCTTGATAGTCCCCAAAGGCATAACCTTTCTACTGCTTCCAAAAGCTTTGAGAACTCTGCTAGAGAAGACCTTGAACTCTCAGGTCAGCCAAGTGGTATTGAAGAAGAAATTCTACTGTCTCCTTTGTGCTCTGATCAGTAAACTGTAGAACTTTCTCACAGCTCCTAGGATCATGGGAGTTCCAGCATTGTGTCTGCCACCAACACATCACGGTCATCTGAAGACCATCTCTTTGGTACATGCCAGTGATTACGTGAGTCATGGTGAGAAAATATACCTGAAATGTATCATAACACCCAGAAGACATACTTATAATTACATATCTTCAGGATGGGTACCCCCAAGCACTATACAGCTAGCTATACAATATGGTGCTTTTAACATCAACATGACTATCTAGAGAGCCAACTACAAGAAAAAATTGATGATTTTTCAGCACATTCCTTTTGAAATCTGAAGTACAAGAGGTCATTTAAAAGCCATTTAAAATATTCAATGGGCTGAATAAACCCATTTTATCTTTTTTCTCGACTTTATTGGGTAACTTAACCTACATAGAAATAATCATCTGAACAACTTTGTATTTAAGCAGAAAAAAAAATAACCATAAAGAATAAAATTAAGAAGGACACAGGAGCATAACTGCATGACATGCCAGTGAGGAAAAGAAAACATATCCCTAAGCTCTCTCAAAGAAATAACAATAAAGATTTAACAGATCTTCTTTTCTTTTTTCAAGTTTTTTGCATTTTTCTGTGTGTTCACGTCTCTCATATCTTTTTAGTATTTTTGCTAAGGTCATTTCTAATGTTTTTTTAAAGGTAATTTTCATAAATGTTTTAAGAGGCAAACACAAAAACTGCTGTTTCCCTAGAGCTTGTTTTTTATTTTTCTAGTTTCGTTGTTTGTCGATTTTTGTTTTGTTTTTGATTTTGTAGTTGACATTGCCACTACAGAAAGCAAAAACAATAAAAAAAAAAAAGCCCTGCTGATAATGACACATATGCTTTAAACATGAAAACAAATCAACACAGCAAAGATATGGACAAAGGGTAAAAATACAACTTTAAATGAAAAAAAATCTATGTAGACAATGGTTTCAATTTGTAATTATTTTTGAACAATATGGCATTGATTTCCTCTGTGGTCTTGTGGGCCCCCCGACAGATGTTGACAGCGTGGTGGACACTGGCCCTCGGTCACCCTGAGAAGAATTCTGGACGTAGCCACATGCTGTTGTAAACCAGGCCCTGCAGAGACGTGAGCGGGCTTGATTATCATGATTAAATCTTGGACCTAAATCAAGGAGTTAAAGCCTGCCAAGACCTTTGTTGAACACGGAGTGTGTGAGAAATTCCACAGTATCACAACCTTGGGAGAACAGAGGAAGAATAAAATTACTGAAAGTTTCAGACGTAATGAAAAAGGGAGCTAAAGCTTATGCTCAGTGTATACATACCTACTGGGAAGCACATTTTAACAAACAGTGTTCCTTGGCTGTGCACAGGTTAAATATTTTATGTAACTAACAAATTAGGATTCCAAGCTTGCGTTAGCTATAATGATTCCTAAAAACCTGTCATGACAAAGGAATCTAGTATCTTTCTTGTTTCCACTGCTTTGCTTGTTATTAGAGTAAGAAACGTAACATTCCTTAGAGAGAAATTACACACATAGTATAGTCCCAGTCTTTTTAAAGTTCTATTTAAAAAACAGTTATTTGAATGTGTGTGAATTCTAAATCACATAGTGAGATTATTTAATAAAGGCAACGTACACACTAGAATAACAGAAGACTGTATATTCTTTAAAAACATTGCTTATTCTATAAATTGAATGAATGTAGTTTTGACAGAGTCTTTAATGATAATTGAATTTATGTGTAAATTGGATTGGAGAGATATATAGTATTGGTATAAATTACATATATTTATACAAGTCTATATAATTACACATTTTATTTATAAAAGTAAAATACATTTAACTGCATAGTAGTAGGAATTTAATGGACAGTGATTCACAAATATGAAGAATGAGGTATGTACCAATGGAAAATATTCAACATACCAAAGGAGTCTTGGCTTAAGTGTTGATGATGTACATATGCAAAGACATTCCAACTTCCAAATTCAGGGCTGAGGAGAGAGTGATGCCAAATCCCAGAAATAGTTGGAAGAGGATAATAATTACATGCCGTGTCCTTGGATGTGTTTTTGCCAAGCTGTATTCTTAAATGAAGCATTATACCAGTCAGAAAATTCAACAGTAAATTTTTTTCCGTATGATTCACCATATTTAGAACACATTTGTAAACATTTTGGAAGTCAGACTCTAGGTATTCCTGAGTACTCTTTAAGAAAGAATACCAAGTGGTGCAAGTTCTTCACTTGATAAATTACTAATTACAAAGCAAATTAGTGCAAGCTCTGCCTTTACCCTTGAAAAATTTTCATTTCACTTTC